GTATTAGTTATAAGGAGAGGTTGAACAATCTTGGATTGTTTTCGCTAGAGTGTCAGAGGCTAAGGGCTGACCTAATAGAGGTATATAAAATTATGACAGGCATGGATAGGATGGATAGTCAGAGTCTTTTTCCCAGGGTGGAAATGTCAAATACTAGGGGGCACAGTTTTAAGGTGATAGGGGGAAGGTTTAAAGAAGATGCACAAGACCAGTTTTTTTGTTTTACACAGAGCGTTAGGTGCTTGGAATGTGTTGCCATGGGAGGTGGGAGAAGCAATGTTTAAGAAATGTTAAGACAGACAATAACAGTCAGGGAAGAAAGGGATACGGACTACATGCAGACAGATGGGATTAGTTTAGAATGGCATCATGGTCGGCACAAACATGATGGGCCAAAAGGCCTGTTCCCCTCCTGTACTGTTCACTGTTCTACAAACAGAAATTGCTGGAGAAACTGAGCAGCATGTGGCAGCATTTGTGAGAGAAAGCAGAGTTAACATTTCAAGTCCAGTGACCCTTCTGAACTCTGCTTTCTCCCCATAGATGCTGCCAGACCTGCCGAGTTTCTCCAGCAATTTCTGCTTTTGTTTCAAAAACCAAACGATCAAACAGTGTTTTTTCAAATCTCTTCCAACAGAGGGAGCACATTCACCACACTCATCAGGCTGCAAGCAAATCTGACTGACGGCCAACAATCTAACTTTCAATTGCAGTTTAAAAGATTTACGAGTTTATTTAAAAATGACCATGTTTTGTACAAGAGGTTTAACATGGTTTCTGTAGTCAAGTGGAGGCATGAATAAAAAAAACAAATTGACTCAATTTTTTATGTTGGATCAAGGAAGGTGGATGAAATCCTGTCTGCACTCTTACATGAAGAACGATAACACAGGAAAGGTACAGGGTAGAGGTGCCAGTCCTCCAGGATCGCTCGGAGTCTCCATGAATTAGAGATAAATTGCTTCAAGCAAATCCAGAGAAAAATCATTTAGCAGTTTTGCCTTTATGATTTTCTTTGAACTCTGGCTTATAGTATCGGTTTAGATTGACAAAAGCTATAAAAACAGGTTTCCGATGAAGGGTCTAGGCCCGAAACGTCAGCCTTCCTGCTCCTATGCTGCTGCTTGGCCTGCTGTGTTCATCCAGCTCTACACCTGGTTATCTCAGATTTTCCAGCATCTGCAGTTCCTACTATGTCTTCTAGATGGGGTGTAAACTTTAGGTGGTGGTGATGCAGCCTCTAAGTGACAATGAATTAGAGTTTTATTTTACAACTGAATGGCAGGATGTGGGCATGGTTGGCTGGATTCATTTGCTCATATCTGGAATTGCCCTGTAGAAGGTGATAGTGAGCTGCCTTCTTGAACTGCTGCAGTCTGTGGGGTGAAGGTACATGCACAATGCCGTGAAGAAGTTCCATGATTTTGACCCAGTGACACTGAAGGAACAGTGATACATTGCCAAGTCAGGATGGTGCATGGCTTGGAGGGGAACTTGCAGGTAGTGGTGTTAGAAACATACAAAATAGGAGCAGAAGCAAGCTATTCGGCCTTTACACCCTGCTCCACCATTCATTATGATCATCCAACTTAACAGGGGAGGCAAAAGCCACGGTATTATTGCTGGGCTATTAATCCAGAGACCCGGATAACATTCAAGGGACCTGGGTTCGATTCCACCACGGCAGATGGTGGAATTTGAATTCAATAAAATATCTGGAATTAACAATATAATGGTGACCATGAATCCATTTCTGATTGTCACAAAAACCCACTTGGTTCACTAATGTCCTTTAGGGAAGGAAACTCCTATCCTTACATGGTATGGCCTACATGTCACTCCAGACCACAGGTAATGTGGCTGACTCTGAACTGCCCTCTGGGCAATTAGGGATGGGCAATAAATGCTGGCCTAACCAGCGATGCCCTCATCCTGTTAATGAATAAAGGAAAAAAAAAAAGCCTGCTCCAGTGAAAGGAACATGCTGGCCCTGAATTCTAAAAGTGAAGGACAAGGGCAGGAAGTACATGGAACTCTGGATGTCAAGGGTCATTAAGAGTTTGACAAAGAACAAGAAGGAATTGTGTGTCAGGTAGAGTGCGTTAAAAACAGAGGAAGCCCTTCATAAGTAAAGAGTATGGGGGCGATGCTTAAAAAGTTAGGAGGGCAAACAGAGACAGCTTGTCCCATTTCCAAGGAGACTCTTCTGCCCTCTTGTGGTAAAACAGATTACAAACAAGCAGCAGGCTGCCCTCACACACCTGCTCTATACCTTACCAACTGGGAGGGATTTGCTGACTGTAGATGAATATAAATCTGTGTCGAAGAGTAAAAAGCTAACAGGATATGTGATACAACAAGATGCAGGGCTGGATGAACACAGCAGGCCAAGCAGCATCATAGGAGCAGAGAGGCTGACGTTTCAGGCCTAGACCCTTCATCAGAAAAGGGGGAGGGGGAGGGGGAGGGGAAGGGGTTTCCGAAAGAAATAGGGAGAGAGGGGGAGGCGGATAGAAGAGGGATAGAGGAGAGGATAGGTGGAGAGGAAACAAACAGGTCGAAGAGGCGGGGATGGAGCCAGTAAAGGTGAGTGTAGGTAGGGAGTTAGGAAGGGGATAGGTCAGTCCAGGGAGGACGGACAGGTCAAGGGGGCGGGATGAGGTTGGTCGGTAGGAGATGGAGGTGCGGCTTGAGGTGGGAGGAGGGGATAGGTGGGAGGAAGAACAGGTTAGGGAGGCAGGGACGAGCTGGGCTGGTTTTGGGATGCGGTAGGGGGAGGGGAGATTTTGAAGCTTGTGAAATCCACATTGATACCATTGGGCTGCAGGGTTCCCAAGCGGAATATGAGTTGCTGTTCCTGCAACCTTCGGGTGGCATCGTTGTGGCACTGCAGGAGGCCCAGGATGGACATGTCGTCTGAGGAATGGGAGGGGGAGTTGAAATGGTTCGCGACTGGGAGGTGCAGTTGTTTGTTGCGAACCGAGCGTAGGTGTTCTGCAAAGCGGTCCCCGAGTCTCCGCTTGGTTTCCCCGATGTAGAGGAAGCCACACCGGGTACAGCGGATGCAGTATACCACATTGGCAGATGTGCAGGTGAACATCTGCTTGATGTGGAAAGTCTTCTTGGGGCCTGGGATGGGGGTGAGGGAGGAGGTATGGGGGCAGGTGTAGCACTTCCTGCGGTTGCAGGGAAAAGTGCCGGGTGTGGTGGAGCTGGAGGGGAGTGTGGAGCGGACAAGGGAGTCACGGAGAGAGTTGTCCCTCCGGAAAGCAGATAAAGGTGGGGAGGGAAAGATGTCTTTGGTGGTGGGGTCGGATTGCAGATGGCGGAAGTGTCGGAGGATGATGCGTTGGATCCGGAGGTTGGTGGGGTGGTACGTGAGGACGAGGGGGATTCTTTTTTGGTTTTTATTGCGTGGACGGGGTGTGAGGGATGAGGTGCGGGAGATGTGGGAGACACGGTTGAGGGCGTTCTCGACCACCGAGGAGGGGAAGTTACGGTCCTTGAAAAACGAGGACAACTGAGATGTACGGGAGTGGAATGCCTCATCCTGGGAGCAGATGCGGCGGAGGCGAAGGAATTGGGAATAGGGGATAGCATTTTTGCAGGAAGGTGGGTGGGAGGAGGAGTATTCTAGGTAGCTGTGGGAGTCGGTGGGCTTGAAATGAATATCGGTTTCTAGGTGGTTGCCCGATATGGAGACAGAGAGGTCCAGGAAGGGGAGAGAGGTGTTAGAGATGGTCCAGGTAAACTTAAGGTTGGGGTGGAAGGTGTTAGTGAAGTGGATGAACTGTTCGAGCTCCTCGTGGGAGCACGAGGCGGCGCCGATACAGTCATCAATGTAACGGAGGAAGAGGTGGGGTTTAGGGCCGGTGTAGGTACGGAAGAGGGATTGTTCCACGTAACCTACAAAAAGAGGCAGGCGTAGCTTGGGCCCATGCGGGTACCCATGGCTACCCCCTTTGTCTGTAGGAAGTGGGAGGAATTGAAAGAGAAGTTGTTGAGTGTGAGGACGAGTTCAGCTAAGCGGATTAGGGTATCAGTGGAGGGGAACTGGTCGGGCCTGTGGGACAGGAAGAAGCGGAGGGCCTTAAGGCCATCTGTATGGGGAATGCAGGTGTAGAGGGACTGGACGTCCATGGTAAAGATGAGGTGTTGGGGACCGGGGAATTGGAAGTTCTGGAGGAGGTGGAGGGCGTGGGTGGTGTCACGGACATAGGTAGGGAGTTGTGATGTCTGAATAGGTGGTTCAGGAAAAATATAGAAATCCACGTGTCTGTTAAAATACAGTGCGGTGGTTGGTCTAAATCGATTTAATACTGCTGGTGGGGCAAGTGGCTGAACAACATCCCATGACAAGGGGGAAGAAGTTCACTTTACTATGACCCACTGCTCCTGTAACGCTATTTCATGCACAGTCCTGGAATCCGTCAATGCATTAGTTTGAGAACATTACTGAACTGTTGTTCCAGCAGCACTCATGTTCATACTTTCACTTTCACATGAAAGGACGAAATAGATTGACACTCAAACGTGGAAGAGAAAGGTTTCCATTTAGATCAAAAACCCTCTTACATTTCCCAAGGTGTGTGCGATGAGAATTATCTGATTGTTCTGGAGGAGAGATTCGCTCAGTCTCAGTCAACAAATACCATCAAAATAAAATCACCTGGCTATTACAACAACGGTGCGAGTGGGAGCTTGCTATGCACGAATACTCGTTTCATAAACCAATGTATGCATAGACTGAATCTGGCAGCAAAAACATGTCCAGACTCTAAAGGGCTTTGTTGTCAATTGACAGTATAGAACAAGCCTGTTTTGACATTTTCATGTCCAATAACCAACAACCCACTGAGGTGGAAGTTAGATCTTAAATTCAAAACATCAATAGGTTTTTCTTACTCTCAATCAGCTTTGAATTGGTTGTGACAGCCCTTCTGTTGTCCTCAGAACACAAGGAGTGTCAGAGAAATGCAAGTTTGGTCTTTCCTACTTACCTTCAGAGCTGGAAAGTCACTGGGTGCATCTATGGGAACTGAAGTCAGGGGGATTGTTGGAATCTCAGAGTTGGGAACAGTCTCCTTCTCAATCAGATCATCACTGGCAAGAGAAAAGGAATAAATATTGTGCTACAATCACAACTCAAAAACAGCTAGCCTAATAAAGCATGTAACTTGTGCAATCCTTTTATTATTTTGCCGGGGAGGCAATGGCCTAGTGGTATTGTCACTAGACTATTAATCTAGAGATCCAGGTCATTATCTGGGCACCCAAGTTTAAATCCCACCATGGCAGATGGTGGAATCTGAAATCAATAATTAATTTTTTTAAAAATTGGAATTAAAAGTTTACTGATGACCGTGAAACCATTGTTGATTGTGGGGAGAAAAACCCAAGTGGATGACTAATGTCCTTGAGGGAAGGAAACTACAGTCCTTACCTGGAGTCGCCTCCAGACCCACAGCAATGTGGCTGACTCTTAACTGCCCTCTAGACAATTAGGGATGGGCAATGAGTGCTGGCCTAGCCCGTAATGACCATAATCCCACGAATGAATAAAAAATTTGTACAGCAAAGTTTAACCGGCACTCTTGATAAACTGGCAAAAATTATATGTGTCAAATATTGTGATCTACCACGATGTCTGAGTATTTATACTAGAAAAAAATATACTGCAGTTATGTGTACCTCTTGATTATCTGGAATACCTGGTACACTTGTGGTTCTATGAGTGCTGGTTAATAAAAAAAGTTTGTTGAACTTTCTTTCAGTGATTGTCTGTAGCCATTTGATGAACTATGATTACTGGTTTTATGATTTCATCTTTTGCAATTTTGCAAATGATTTTGCAATGTACTAATTTATCAGTTTCCCCATCTATTTATTGTTAAATGTTAGGGGGTTTTGAAGGCAGCTGTATTCATACAAGTTTTTAAAACTAAAGGAAATGGCGGTTAATATGCTGATGAATGAGGCATTGCATCAGTGAACTGTCGAATAGCCTATCCAGTGTTTCTAATCCATTTCCCCAGCCATCAGAGTAAACGCAAAGTCATGTTTTAATTTCACTGCTTTCTCTGTCATGCAACATCCAATAAACATTTATTCTTCAAATGAATGAGCAAAACTCCCCCCTCTTTAAACAAGTGCCTGAAGATTCTCTTTCTATTCCTCACCACATTCTCAATAACAGAGGGCACCATAACTATCATTCATGGTTGTAAAATTTTTATTTTATTTAACCTATTTTTCTAACCAACCCGTTCAGACACATTATTACACACCTTGGGAGGTGGGGGCACTTGAACCCAGGACTCCTGGTCCAGAGGTAGGGACACTACCACTGTGCCACAAGAAGGCCCTTCAACACAAGTGCAGAGGGGTGATGTGAGCAGCCACTGGTGACAGAACTGCACCTAGTATTCCCCGGTAGTCTCCCATCCAAGTGCTAACCAGGCCTGAGTCTGCTTAGCTTCCAAGATCAGACGTAAAAACCCATCTTATTAAACGACACAGCAGACTCGAGAGGCCCAACAGTTGACTCCTGCTCTCAAATCTTCCATTAGGTTGCTACTTAGGGTTCCACAGCTACGTTTTCTTTCTCCAAGTAATTACTTTGTGATCCCTTCCAGTCCACTATTTAGTCCCTTTTGTAAAATGGTGACTAGGTAAAACCTCCTGCCTTCTTCACAAATGATACGGAGGTGCCGGTGCTGGACACGGGTGGACGAAGTCAGAAGTCTCACGACACCAGGCTATTGTTCCAAAGGTTTATTTGGAATCACAAGCTTTCAGAGCGCTGCTCCTTCGTCACGTCAGCCTGCTGTCGTGAGACCTCGGACTCTTCACAAATGTTTCAACCTCAAATGCAGTCCTGTGACAGCTGTAGCCCTAAAAGCACTTACAGATTGAAAGGGGTGCCAACTGGAATGGGTTTCAGCGGGCCCCTGGCACCTGGGCGCTCTGGGATTTTGCTTGTGAATAAAATGGTGTCGGTGGTTTCTGGTCCCCTGTTTGAAATACAAAAGACAGTAGTAATATTAGATGTAGGACTCCTAATAGATTCAACAGCACTTTCTCATGCTGTACAAATTGTTGCTCCCTTAGAAATCCGGTGTTTTGCTCACTGTTTGGCCATACTGCAATTTTAAAATGTATCTCCCTTTTCAGTTCCCTCCCACGATCTTATTCCTTCCTACCTCTTATCCCCTGCAGCCACACAACCCTCCAAAACATCCACATTCCTGCAAATCTAGCCTCTTGAACATCCCTGATTTTGACTTCTCATCATTGTCGGTTGTGTCTTCAGCTGCCTTGACTTTAAGCTCTGGAATTCCCTCCCTAATCCACTCAGGCCCCCTATATTTCTGTCTTTCTTCAAGAGGGCCCTGAAATCCACACTTTCTGAGCAACACTTTGGTCACCTGCTTCATTGACCCATGTAGCTCGGTGTCAAATTTGGTCAATGATGATACGGCTGTGACGAGTACCTGTTCCAGTTCATACTGTGAAACAGGCCATTCGGCCCATCGAGTCCACACCAACCCTCCAAAGAGCATCCCACTCGGGTGCACACCCCATCCCTGTAACCCTGCATATCCCATGGCCAATCCACCTAATCTGCACATCTCTGGACTGGGGGTGGAAACTGAAGCATCTGGCAGAAAGACACAAACATGAGGAGAACGTGCAAACTCCACACAGACAATTGCCCAAGACTGGAATCGAACCTGGGTCCCTGGCGCTGTCAGGCAACAGTGTTAACCACTGTGCCACCATGCCTCCCCAGCTGGGGCAGAAGACCAGGTTGTTGGTGCTTTGTGTTGGATTGTTCGCCAGTAGCCACCAACAGATGTGACTGTGACCCCTGGTGGCAGAGAGAAGGCTAAATGTACATTATCACTGAAAGATTTCACTTAGGAATTGATATTGCACCTCAGACCAATGTAGCCTGCCTTCCTTGAATGTCTAAATACTTTGTTGAAATTCCGTGGATATCCTCAGTACGTGACCAACATCATTCAGACAGCGAGTCCCTGAAAGATTATTGAACTGGAGGGAATTTTTGGATTTTGGATTTAATCCAGACACAGTTCCGACAGTAGATGTTGGGCAGAGATCATGGTCACAAAACCGAACCAACTAAATCTTCTATAAACTGATGACAACTGCATCTCTCTCACTGACACCTCATTCAAGATCAACTAACTCAGAAAATCGCTGGAGTCTTCCTGTTCCATGCCAGTCAGGTGATCATTGGCTAAGCTCACTGCGACATTGGAAAATGGATATACATGAAAATGTTAATAATGTCTAAAAATTGTCACTTTTAGTAACAGGTTAAATTGGAAGCTTCAAAAAAATTGATTTGAAGATTATAGAAATTAGATGGATTTAGACTGCTTACAAAACAACTGTACTTCAGTATGGAATAATTAAACAGGACCAATGGCTAAAAATCTCCATAACATCCAAGAGGTGAGGGAACACATGGGGAGAGATGGCAAGTCCCTGCCATGCTCATGCATCACCTAGTGGTAAGGTCAGGAATTATAGGGGCAAGGAAGAAATTTGCATTTAGATAGGAAACTTGACACGGTTTTCAGACATCCCAAAGTGCTGGATGGTCAATGAACAATGCCATAGATTTAGCTACTGTTAGGAGTGGCACAACAAATGTGATGAATGACCAGTCTGTTTGTGTTGTTTAGGAGGTGTGGTGGGTTGGCTGTGGAATGTTGGCCAAGAGCGGAGGAGAACTCGTTTATCTTAAGAGTTGTGCTTGTTGATCTTAGGAATGACCTTGGTTTAATATCTCAGCTAAAAGAGAGCCTTTCTGACAATGCTGATTCCCTCCATACTGCACTGAGGCCTCACACAGAAACATAGGAGGTGCAGTGACCCTTCTGAGGAAGGGTCACCAGACCCAAAACGTTAACTCTGTTTTTACCTTCACAGATGCTGCCAGACTTGCTGAGCTTTTCCAGCAACTTTTTTTTTGCTCCTGATTTACAGCATCTGCAGATCTTTCGGTTTAACATAGGAGGTGGTGTAGATTATTCCCTTGTTTGTGCCTGCTCCACCATTCAATATGCTCATGGCTCATTATCCATCTCAACATCACTCTCGCACACTATCTTTTATGTCATTTGTCTCCAGTAACTCCAGCACTCTGGGTTAGAGAATCCCAAAGATTCATCTCCCTCTGAAGAGGATCTGGATAAGCTCAGGTTGTTTTCTATAGAGCAGAGGTTGAGGTGTAGAAGATGATGAGGGGTAAGAGACAGGATGAATAGGAAGCAGCTATTCCCCTTAGTCGAAGCGTCAATAACAGTTCAATAACATTTTAAAGTGACAGGCAGGAGGTTTAGAGGGGATATGAGCAAAAACTTTTTCATTGAGAGGATGGTGGGGCTCTGGAATGCACTGCCTGGCATAGTAGTAAGGGAGCAGGAAACCTCACAACCTTTAAAATGTACTTGGATGAGCATTTGAAATGTCCTAACATTCAGGGTTATAGGCCTAGTGCAAAAGTGGGATTAATGTAGGTAGTAGTGTATTTTTAGCAAACAGACTCTTCTGTACTGTGTTATTCTATGATTCTGAGTGAAGGAATTCCACCTCATCTCAGTCTTATAAAGCATTATTCTAAAACAATGCCCACCAATAATTTGTACAGATTTAGCACCTTTAAAAATGATACAAAGCACTTCATTGGAGCATTATTGAATAAAGATGACATCTAACAAGTCAGATAACTAAATGCTTGGTTAAAGGAGGAGGTTTCAAGGACAATCTTAAAAAGAGGATAATGAGGTGTATGGAGGGATTTCCAGAGCTTAGGGTCTAGGCAACTGCAAGGTTAGAGCAGGGATGCTCAAGAGACCAGTATTGGGTTAACACACATCTCCAAGGAGCTGGATGAGATTACAGAGACAGGTCACAGAGGCATGTGCAATGCAGACTCGGAATTTATAAATTAAGGTGTTGCTGGATTGCAATCCAATGCCGTTAGTGAAATTAGTGAAATTAGTGAGAGAAGTGATGGGGAAATGAGACTTGCCATATATGAATACACAAAAAGCAGAGTTGGGATGACCCCAGGTTTATGAAGCATAGAGTGTGGGAGACCAACCAGGCATCTGCTGAAATAGTCACATCTAGAAGCAACAAATGCATGAAAGAGGCCTCCAGCAGTAGATAAGCAAGAGTTGGGTGATGTTATGAAATTGGGAATAGGCAATAATAAGGTATGATCATAGGAGATGTCCTGTTGGGCTAGGTCAGCCTGTAAAACTTGGCAGGAGAGTTTGAAAAGAAAAGGACATGCATTCATAGAGCACCTTTCACAACCACCTGGTGTCCCAAAGCAGTTTATAGGCAATAAAGTACTTTGTAAACCTTAATAATTTGGGAAACATTTGCACCTGCTAGATTTCCCCACAAAGACCAAATACTAATGATTGGATAATCTGTCCTTTGCAAGCGGATTGAGGGATATATTCCAGGAATATGGACTCAGAAATGCTTTCTCCCCCAAGCATGCAGTTGGGGCACTGGTTTGACAGCTGAAAGATGGCACCTCCGACAGTGCGGCACTCCCTCAGTACAGTTTAACATGGTATAGGCTTGCCACATGAAGGGGAGGGGATATTGAAATGGAAGGCTCAGACCCCTGATGCCCATGTGACTAAGGGATTTATATAAATGTGTTCGAATAAGTATGTAGCTAACATTGTGCAAGAGCAGGTTTCATTTGATTGTTGCGTACTCCATACAGTCAAAGAAACTGCTACCAGTCACAGAGTGGTCCTTGGGAGGGAGGTGCAGAGAGTTGCCAGAGTCTGGAAATGTCCCAAGGGAGAATCAGCATGGAAAGGAAAACAGTTGACAGTAAAGGTCATGTTCTGGCTCTCACCCGAAGGCTGCGTCAAACAGGTTGGAGATTTTCTCATTCAGTCTGGTATCATCTCTCGGCCCCTGAGAAGGGAAACACGAGACTATTAAGAAAGAATCTGAACAATAATACCACCAGAGACAAAATAAACACACAGCACACAACACAGCCTTCTGGGCATTGCTGCAGAGAGATAGGTTATCATTCTTTTCACACTTTTCAGGACAAACACAAGAATGTCAAATTTTAAATGACCACAACAATTGTTTGAAACTGCAGCTGCTTACAGCAGAACCTCGTTCAAAGCTTTGCAGTCAGTCCCAGTTTGTATGACCTACGTATAACTTAACATACCAGCATTTCCAATTCCTTCATGTGCACTGCCAAATATCACTGACTTCCTGTGTTACGTACAGTCCAGTCAATGTAATACAAGCCTGTTAGATCCAATTTATTAAGATTCCTGGTTTCAAGTATTCAGCTAATTTGGGCTGTGATTTTTTCTGAAATTAGATATTTAGATCAGTGTTACATGTTCTGACAGCTTGGAATCCAGTTCTGAGCACTGGCACCATATCTGTGACCAGTGTAGTGCAGGAACAGTGGGTCAGTTGTGGTGCTAACAGATCCACTGAGGCGTCAAGTCATAAGCAGAGCCACTAACTTAGAAAAGAAAACTTACATTTTATACAGCATTTTTTACAACACTCTGAAAGGTCAATTAAGTACTTTCTTTTGGCCAATACCACAAAGTAGGGTATTTGTGGAGGGCAATTTGGGCATAGGAAGGCTCCAGAGTGGCAGCGTGACAATGTGTTGAGCGTCGCTGATCTCAAGACAGAGGAGAACTCTCTTGTCCTTCTTAGAATAAAAACACCCAGCTGACAGGGCAGATGAGCCCTTGGCTTAAAGTCCTGTCTGGAAGATTACAATTCCAACACTCCCTCAGTCCCGCACAAGAACGTCAGCTTAGACTTGAACCCAATCTTTGGACCCAGAAATGGACCATTCATTAGCCAAGCAGTAATAGTCACCACATCCCAGATGATCATTGGGCTCTCTTTCATTAGAGAGAGAAACGACTGGTGGTAGTTTAACCTGAAGGTCACCATACTCCAGGCAAGGGGTGAGGTTAAGAAGAAAGGATCTTCACCTCAGCTGGTGCAGGAATTCAATTTGCACCGTTGGTGTCATTCCACATCACAAACCAGCTGCCGAGCCAACTGAGCTAACCAAGCCTCTTGGAGCCAAGCACCAGACATGGGGTTAAAGTCTTTACAGGCTGACTGTAGAAAGCAGTTCCAGATGGCCCAAAGCATCAAATTTATCAAACCCTTGGTTTTAATTTCTCATAAAAATCATGACTAACAATAATGTTAAACAGCCATAAACTAAAAATGACAATAAGGACAATAAATCTCACCTGCAAGCTGACAGTAATAAAAAGTGCAGCTCAGAGAATTCTGTAAAACACATGTATATCTAACTGTACTCAGCTGTTCATTGCTTTAAGGAAAAGAAGGTCTTACAGATTTTTCAAATATTTTCCTCTATTTTGAAAACTCATCATTTTGCCAGCAGCTGAGTTAGTTAATTATTAAAAAAAAGCCTTGTAACTGCTTTACCTTCACAGCAACCTCTGGCTGTGCTTTCACAATATTACTTTTCACACCCTCAGAAAGGGTCGGGCAAATGGTATCGACTGTGTTCTTGAGGTCCCTGTCCAACAACTTTACCGTGTCCTCCTGCAACAAACAGACAGCATTTTAAAAATCAAGATGCCTTTCCAGAAACACACTCTGCCTGAACTCTTGGTACTGGAGGCAGCCTCGTTTAACATAGAAAACAGAAGCAGGAGTAGGCCATTCAGCCCTTCATGTCTGTTCCGCCATTCATTATGATCGTGACGAATCATCGAACTCAACTGCCACTTTCCACTTTTCTTCCATTTCCTTTGATTCCTTTGTCCCCCCAAGTGCTATATCTAACTCCTTCTTGAAATCATGCAATGTTTTGCCCTTATCTGCTTTCTGTGGTAGCAAATTCCACAGGCTCACCACTCACTGGACAAAGAACCTTCTCCTCATCTCAGTCCTAAATGGTTTACCCCAGTATCTTTACAGTGCGGCCCCTGGTTCTGGAACATGGGTGGCATTTCACAAAGTAAAACATTGGCACATTTCACCTGGGACTGAGAAGTAGTTCAAGCTTCTCTGTTAGGCATAAAGCAGAAAACAATTTTGGGTGTTAGCCATTATCGGATGGACCTTGTCTAGATACCCTTGGGGATCAGGGAGATGAAATGAGTGAAATACAAACAAACGAGACAGTAATTTGCTCATGGAAGAGTTGGTACAATGGGGAAGTCAGAATCTTACAATAAAGGGTTAGCCAATAAAGGGACTTAGATGACGGGAAATTGCCAAAGTCTTGATCCAAGGGCTGTAATTGCTCATTGAGTGTTATTGAAAGGATTAAAAAGGAAGGTGCTGTAAAAGATTTCCTCAAGAGCACCTTCCAAACTAGCAATCCCCATGATCTAAAAGGATAAGGGCAGCAGATACACGGGGACACCACTAGTTGCAAGTTCTACTCCAAGCTACTCACCCATCCTGACTTGAAATATATCACCATTGCTTCGAAGTCGCTGGGCCAAGTCCTGGAATTCTATCTCTCAGCAACATTTTAGATGTATGCACACACTGTGAGGACTGCAGTAGTTCAAGAAGGTAGCTCAACAGTACCTCCTGCAGGGCAATTAGAGATGGACAATAAATGCTGGTCTGGCCAGTGATGCCAATATTCCAAGGTCAAACAAATAAATTGGAACAGCAGCTTTGAGAAGTGTTCAAGCCGGTTTGAAGGTCAAAAGAGCCTGCTGCTTCCATTCATTTTTCTGTTAAAGGGCCTTTCCCTGATTGAGGTTTGTCCTTATGTACATAAGTAGGCATTGCATTCAATTTTGATTATTAATAATTCATTTTATTTTGAAAGTTGGCTAGAAGCATGACAATGGTTCTGGACAGAGCAGATAGGTTGAAACTGTTCCCACTTGTCAAAGGATCAAAAACAAGAAGGCGCAGATTTGAAAGCAACTAAAGCAATGTGAGGTAAACCCTTTTGCCTTTTTTACGCAACAATGTGATTAAGGTCTGGAAATGTACTGCTCATGAGTGAGGTGGAAGCAGGTACATACAAACAAATTTTTCAAAAAAGGAATTAGCCTTATCTGAAAAGGAAAACCATGCAGGGTAACGGGGAGAAAGCAGGGGATTTGCACTAAGTGAATTGCTCGTTGGGAAAGCAGGTGCAAACATGGCAGGCCAAATGGACTCCTTTTGTGCAATAATAGTATTTCTAAGTTGTACCATCACTAGTACCTTTGTACAATCCAACAACAGACATGGGATGTTTGCTTGATATGGGTAATTCATCCGAAACCATGTCAAAGCTGACTCCAATGTCATTCTTACCTGGCCATTGAGATTCATGGTGAGGTTTATTTTGGGGTTGGTCCCAGGAGAAGGACTGCTCTCTATCTGGAGCTGTTTCAGTTTCGCTACGACTTCATCCAGCGCTGAAACATGGAGGCAAAAAGGTAATGTAAAAAGAAGCAGTTAAACAACCGAGGTTCGAGTTCCCAAGGCAAATGCTTTTCATACACTGAGTAAATGCAATAGCCTTCCCCTCCTCCATTGAGGAATTATCACTAGACTCTTAATCCAGAGACCAAGGTAATGCTCTGGGGACCCAGGTTTGAATCCCATAGATGATGGAGTTTAAGTTTGAAAGAAAATCTGTAATTAAGAGTCCAACGATGACCACAAATCCATTGTCAATTGTCATAAAAATCACTCCACTTGGTTAATGCCCTTTAGGGAAGGGAACGATCATCCTTTGCCAATCTGGCCTATTTGTGACTCCAGACCACTGCCACGTGGTTGACTCTCAACTGCCCTCTGGGCAATAAATGCTGGCCTAGTCAGCAGTGTCCACATCCTGAGAATGAATAAAAATTTGGAAATGTATCCCCATTCCTTCAGTGTCGTAGAGTCAGAGTTATACAGCATGGAAACAGACCCTTTGGTCCAACCTGTCCACGGCAAACATAATCCCAAACTAAACTAGTCCCACCTGCCTGTGCTTGGCCCATATGCATCCAAACATTTTTCATGCAGGTATTTATCCAATGTCTTTTAAACATTGTAACTGTACCTAAATCCACCACTTCCTCTGGAAGTTCATTCCACACAAACCACACTCTGTGAAAAAGTTGCCCCTCATGTCTTTTTGAAAATCTTTCTCCTCTCACCTTAAAAGTGTGCCTCCTAGTCTTGAGATCCCCCACCCTATGGAAGAGACACCTGCCATTCACCTTGTCTATACCCCTCATGATTTTATAATCCTCTGTAAGGCCACTCCTCAACCTCCTACACTCCAGTAAAAAAACGTCCTAGTCTCTCCATATAATTCAAACCTTCCATTCCTGGCAACATCCTGGAAATCTTTTCTGAACCCTGTCCAGTTTAATAATATCCTTCCTACAACAGGGTGACCGGAACTGGACACAGTACTCCAGAAGAGGCCTCATCAACATCCTGTACAGCCTCATCATGACGTCCCAACTCCTATATTCAAAGTCTGAGTGATGAAGGCAAGCGTGCCAAATGCCTTCTTCACCACCTAGTCTACCTGTGACAAAAACTTCAAACAATTATGTACCTGAATCGTTACGTCTCTCTGTTCTACAACACTACCCAAGGCCCTACTTTTAATTGTGTAAGTCCTGCCCTGGTGTTAGGTAAAGATCCTGGACCTCCCTCCCTAATAGCTTTATGGATCTACCTATACCCCAAGGACTGTAAGTGTTCAAGGAGGCAGCTCACCAGCTCCTTCTCAAGGGCAATTAGGGGATGAACAATAAAAATGATGCCCATATCCCATGAATGAATCAAAGTAAAAAGCAATGAAAATCTGGGATGCCTATGAGGCCAGATTGGGAACAGCTGAGAGATCTCAGAGCATTGCAGAGTTGAAGACGGTTGGGGAGATATGGAGAGGGGGCAAGGCCAGGGGCGGATTTGTGGGCAAGAGGCTGGAGGGGTCTTCTGCCTCAATTAGGAAGGTGCAAGGTGCAAGCTACCAAACGTAGAAAGAAAAGGCAAAACAAGTCAAGTAATATTAATAAATATTTGCATTTAACATTTGCCTATACACTATAGGGCGGTTGAAAGTTGTAGAGGTTTAAAGGGGGTTGACCAGTGCTAGGCAGGAGGTCTTCAAAAATTCTTCCTGGTGTACAAAGAGATCGTCCACTTGCCATGGAGCAAGGTGCAAATATTATTTATGGCACAGTACACATATCAAATTAGACATGTCACAACTGTCCTATTATCACACCAGCAAGCAGAGTGGACACCTCTCACCTGCTGAATCTGGTTTGTCACGTGCGCTCTCGTTTGTTCCAGAGGTCAAACTTTGAACCGAAGATTCTGAAATCCCTGTTGCTGTCATGGCAACAGGCATTGCTACGACTTCATCGACACAGGTCTCCAGGAGCTCCTTGGTATCTAATAAGTCTATTTGCACGCTGCAAATGGCAAAAAAAAAACAAAATAAAAATCAGCAACATCGTTTGAAACACGGCTTCAGTACTTGAACTTTCAGGAAAACTAGTTAGCACTTTGAACAAACATCCACATGCGGGTAAGCCACAGAAGGAAAAAGAAAGAGTTCGCTTCACCAACACCCTCAGTTTCTCAGCCAGCCTATTACAAGATTAATTGCTCCTGTTAACCCTTTGAGTCCTGAGTGAAACTTTAAAATTTCAACAAGTACCTCATTACTTCCAAATGTACGAACTCGGGGAAGGCAGGCTTCCTTCTGATTCGGGCCTCTTCAAAAACTAGCTTTGCTAACAAATTAAGTCGAAATTCCCCAATGAGGGGTCAACAAACTGAAACGTTAGCTCTGTTTCATTTTGTATCCTCAGGGTTCATTTCAGATTCACAGCATCTGCTGAATTTTATTTTTGTCAATGAGTTTGCAAGGATTGCAACCTACAGTAAAAGCACTCTCACAGTGCTCAAAGGGTTAGCAATCGTTAAAGGGGCACTGCCTCCACAAGATGGTCATAAAGGGGTTACCTCAATGTTTAGCTGATGTCAAATGCAGCAGTAACACACACCCCATCATGTGCTCACATTGCAGTTCACCAGCTGGCAATGTAGTCAATCAAGTTACAAGACTGTCAGGCCATTACCTCCTCACCAACCTTCCTGAAGACTGTGCCCTTTTAAACATTGATTCAAAAGTCAACTTGCCCATTTTGGTTGCATTGCGATCATTGATGCTCCCAGTCCAGTATTGGTTATGGTGGGAGCAACAATTTATAAAATCATCACGGCCGACAATTCAGGATATCAAAGAATGTCAAGCAAAAAGAATCTCAATTGTAACCTCTGGACCACCGGCAGGAATCCCATCTAACAAGGGAATTTAACTTTGAGCCAGCAGAAAATGCTGGTTCCCGCAATCAGTTGCTCACTTCAGCCACTAAATATTGCATTGACTAAAGCTATTTTGGATAGAAGCCTAAGGCAGCCGCAGGTAGATGCAGTCATTAATTAGTCTTAATTTTCAGTGAAATTGTCCCAGACGTTATTAGTCACGTCACAGGGACAAGCTGGTCACAGTAAACATTCAACAAGAAAGCACACCTTCATGGCCAGAAAATGACCATGTGCAGAGCCACTGTTTAGCCAGATTAGAGAGCTATCAGCACTCCGTGTCTTAAATCAATCTTTGCGCAGTTATACAAACCACCTTACCTGTTTCAGGCACAACAGATGCAGGATCAGATTTTCAACAACCTTTAAAACATTTCTAGAAATGAGATTAGAGTTTCTACATTTCTACAAAGCATTAGGTAGCACAATGCACAAGTCCATTAACACAGCACTCCCCAGTGCGAGAATCATACCCCTAGACCAACAAGCCTTTTTTTAGGATACTAAAATGTAGGGTATGCAGGGTAGATTGATCTTAGTAGGATAATAGATCGGCACAACATCATGGGCTGAAGGGCCTGTACTGTGCTGTACTGTTCTATGTTCTAGCACTCAAATGGTAGAACACAATTAGAAGCCTATTCTGATTTTCTTGGGAGACATGAGAAAGCCAGGATAAGAAAGATCAATGAGAAGGAAGAGCATGAATTAAAACCAAACAGAAAGGCAACACCTGCCAAGGTACAATATGTAAACCACATGGAGTCACAGGCAGGCAAAGAGAAAGGTTTAACAGCCAGTTCGTGTTGAGTTCCTGGTAGGGTAGGATTGGCAGAACAAAATGGGCACTCATCCACCACCTCAAAAAAAAGAACAGGCTGGGAAGCAGTGGGGAATCATCTGGGAAAGAGTCGGACTGGATTCCAACAAAACTGTTGAACAGATACCCAGACTCTAAAGCCCTTTAATCAAGATACAAGAGGGCTATTGACAGGGTATGATGAGGTGGCTAAACTGGGCAACCGGAGTCTACCTTTAGGAATTTGAGTTAGTTAAATGAAAATCATATCTTCAACTGAAAATATTTCACTAGTTTGTTAATCCAATGCAACCAAACATCATATACATTGCTGGTTCATTTGTTCGTTTATATATATGTGCAGCATCAACTTAATTTCCATAAGATTTTCAGCATTTCAGCATAGCAGTTTCAGGCTTCCCACTTCCAGTTGCATGCTTCACAGCCAATTACAGGTGTCAAAAATAAACCCAATTCCATTTCTAACCCAGCATGTGTGGGGGACAGTTCTTATTGAAGTGCTGTTTAATAACTATCTTCAGTTATACGTTGTGAAGATTGGCATCATTCTGTTGCTGTCAAAATCTAGTTTCATAATTCATAGGTTTTAGGAAATAACTTACAGTTGGGATTTTCTTAAAATGCACGAATCGAATTAAATATCAATATTTTGGCAATTTGTTCAGAGTAAAGACCACTGAGATCTCTTTAACATGTTATTTACAGGACAATAGAAAGAGGCGTTGACCATGGTGTGTTTGGATGATGGCTATCACAGAACAGTTGCTGCACATGAGCTATAATAGCTGTGTGACAGTGGTGTACCACAGACAAAAGTGACCCACCATTACAACCGATCCTCTGGCAGGTGTAGCTACAAGCAGCTGCAGATAAACCAAAATACCTGATAAGAAATGGGTTAAACATAGCCCTGATGTAACTGCAAATCAAACAAGCCTTATTTAGTAATAGTTCAAAGGAAACCTATACTTAGTCAATAAGATCAGAGTTGATAGTGAGAAACTCTAACAATGAATGTCCTATTGTTGAGTTTTTGATGAAGAGTCATTTTGACTGACACCTAAAGTCATTTCATAGTAGTTTGAGGCCATAGCTTTGTTAGTGTCTCCAACTCTCCAAGTACAAACCCCAGTTGTTTGTCATGACATGTTTGAACAGTTGATTAAAAATATCTACATAGTAAATAGCTCATTTTGGGTTCAAACTGAAGTCTTATGGCCAAATTCGTTTAGTTAATTACTGGCTATTCAAACTGTTCTTTAAGCATTAATTGTCTTTTAATAGCATCATTGTTTTTGGGATCATTGTCCTCAATCCATTCTAACCCTATGCTAGAACTTCCTGGGACAATTTACCCAGTTAAATAGTGAGTAAATTTGAAGTCTCAGTTGTGATGTAATTAACAGATCCCATATTAAAGAGGAACGATTATTCAGTGCAATCATTCAAAACACTAACAAAAACATGAAAATGCTGCATGCAGTACAACTTGTTGGATGATTTGCTCAGGAAAATGACCTTCAGTCAAGGAACAGAAAAGAAAATGTGCTCTGTTAAGTGCAGATTCACATTCTTTCCAATTTTATCCTTCACAACCAAATTCTTGCTAGTGGAATCCTGAGTGAATATATCAGTAAGTAGCCACTCGAAGTAAAGTGTTTCTGGGAGCCTTTCAGATGTACTCCAAACCTTGGGCTGTCACCCTAACCCAGTTTCTATTCATTTTCAAAACAGCTTTTGAGATTGAGATTTTGTTCTCAAGCACTGATATCAAAAAAACCTCATACATTGACATAACTAAGGGTGATGCTAGAGGGCCACATTTGAGAACTGCATCTTCTGATTAACAACATCAAAATATAAATCCATTTCCAACAAAACAACATTTGCTACTTCAATAGCATTTGCTTTTCAACTATTCTTAACAGTCCGTGGGGTTTGTTAAAGATTTGTTCAGGATGGATGATCCATCGAGGGAAAGGATTTGAAATTCCACTACAAAGTTAAAAAGTGTACTCTAATGATTAGCCCCCTGAAAGAGGACTGGCTAACATTTCAATTCTGAAAGGACCCCATGTGAACAGCAAAATAGGTGGGAGGAAGCCTGAACAAAAAGGAGTGATACAGAAAATGCTCCTTCCAGAAAGAAGAAAGGCAACAGGAGCATAACAGTTCCAATGAAGGATCGTGATCAAAAGTATTAGTCTTCTGTCTTTCAGCTTGTTGTGGCTTGCTCTGAAAATGCAAAGTTTACAGGGCATTTTCCCACCTGGTTCCTCTACTCCCTTGGAGGTTGTGGGCTGCAGAAATTCATTAAGGCTCAATTTGGCAATACCTTCCACAACCACTACCACCTCGGAGGACAAGGGCAGCGGATACTTGTGGACGCCACCATTTGCAACTTGCCCTACAGACCGTTACTGCCCTGACTTGGAAACATATCGTCGTTCCTCCAGTGTCACTGGGTCAAAATCCTGTAATTCCCTCCCTAATGGCATTGTGGGTCTAAATACAGCAGGTGCACTGCAGTGGTTCAAGGAGGCAGCTCACCACCACTTTCTCAAGGTAACTGAGGCCAGGCAATAACTGCTGGTCCAGTCAGTGACATCCACATCCTGTAGGTGAGTTGGAAAGGTGAATAAAAGACACTGGACCATTCATCACTCCAACATAGACAGTACGCTCCTAAGGGGATCCGATACACTTGCAAACTTTTCTGCTCACACGACACTCACATTCTCGCCTCCAGAGTTCTATCAGCAGCAGCAGTGCAACAATGAACTTATCGACGAGGAGAAATCAGCCAAATGGCTCCTAGCTTAAGAAATAGCTGTTCAAATTCTGAAGGGAGGATACATATAAATCACCAATCACTGCTGCCCGAGAACACAGTTATATATAAAGTTCGAGCTGGGCTGGAACGGAACAGCACTTATCTTGAACACAAGCGAAAAATTAAGACATTAATTGGTTTTATTTCTCCTCTGTTCAAACCATTTTCTGAAATAAAACTCTGCAAACAGTAGAGAAGTGGAGCGGCAATGATGAAAGTACAAAATCTTAACTGCAAGGGACCAGTAAATTGCTTCTTAATGTATTGGTGTTGTGAGCTGTCAGCAGTGGGATTTGGTTGTGTTTATCTGCTGATGCCCGACTGAACTGATTAATAAGAATGGACTGCAACTTCCTAAAGCAGTTTTTTGCAAAAAGTTGGAAGACCCCTGACTAGTGTTGTAGAACTGAGACACCTCGGGGTTCAGG